CTCGCCCGCGACGCGTCGGCGGCAGAGGACCAGCGAGGGCCAGCCCCCAGGCGGCGACCTGAGCTGGGTCGCGGGCGAGGCGGGCGACCTCGCACCCCAAGACGGACCGCCATGGCTCGGCGAGCTTAGCACAGCGCGCCTGACCGTGACGCGCGGCCATGGCGTCAGACGGCAAGCGGCGACATACGGGAGCCGTCGTCCTTCACGGTTCCTCGGGCGTCTTCGCCCCCTCCGCCTGCCCATCCTCCAAGATTGCTCCTCCGGCGGCGTCTCCCCGCACACGGCCCGCGGGCCGTTCTTGCAGGGCCGCCGTCGGCCAGAGGCGGGCCGACGCCTAAAGAAGTGGTCCTCATGAATCGTGCCCTGTGCACCGCCTCGAAACCGGGCGCCAGCGCGTCCTGGATCGGCATCGGCGCGAGTCCGCGTCCCAGGATTCCTCCAACGCCGCCCGACGGGCCCTACAGACATGGCTCATCAGGTCGCCCAACGGCCATGTAGGCCGAACAACAGACGGCAAACAGCCACTCGCCCAGAAATCCCTCACTCGAGCAGTGCGATCAACAGCCTCCCTGCCACTCAGCGCTTTCGCAGAAGGGCCCAGATCCGCTGTGAAAGTCATCCGCACGTACATCGCGTGATTGACTACAGGTTCACTATGGCATGGTGCATGTCGCCAGCCCCGTACGACACCACGAAATGCTTGCCTGACAAGATGCGCCTCGAGCAAACCTCCCCCCACGCTGCAACACACGAGCGCCTTCCTGCGGTCAAGTCGGGTCGTCCTCTGGCACAAGCGTATCATCGCCAACCAGCCACGGGCCAGCCCAACGTCACCTGCACCACATGGCCCATGGAGCCAATCAGCAGCATTTCCTCTCACCTGAGCCCGAAGACCAGACAAGCTGGGCATCGGGGATCCTCTGACCCGGGTCAATCCAGACCCGGGTCAGTCAGGCCTTGCAAAATCCTGCAAATCCTGCAAGATCCTGCACCTAAACCCGGGTCAATGCGAAGGATCCTGCAAGGTCCTGCAGGATCCTGCACCCAAATCCGGGTCAATGCGACCCTGCCCCTGCAGGATCCTGCAGGACCCGGCACTCTGGCTGACCCCCGTTTGCATTGACCCCCGTCTCAAGGCTCCCGAGGGCACTCGGGCGGGGGACCACCGGCGGCGCCGCCAGGAGCTTCGGACAGCAGATAGGTCGGGGCACAGCGGGCATGGCAGAGGAAGAGGAGGCCCCGCTGAGGCTCGGAACCGTAACAGAGGCCGGGTTACCAGTGAGCTAGCCCTGGACTGCTCAAGGCCGCGCGCGGGCCGAAGGGCGGTCGTTCGAGCCAAAACGACAGCGGCAGGATGTTCAAAGCGCTGAAGGCAGGTATAGCGTACCAAATAAGAGTTTCCTAGACGAGTTCCCCCCGCCCTGTTTTGGCAGCGGGCTGCTCGAATGACGGCAGCAAAGCTTATCGTGCATAATTGACGCGCACGCACTCCCATAAGAAGGTATGGCGACGGCGGCAAAGAGAGCAGAGAAGGATTACTTTTCAGTGGCGAAACTCTCCGAATGCAACAAGGGATCCGGCGGGCCAAACTTGTCACGTGCAGATAGCGGCTTCGCGCTTCTAAGAAATGCTCACAGTGCCCAAGCAATATAATTGTCGTGTGATTCGCACTAGCACTTTAAAGGATTGCTCACGAGAAGTCAGTGCCTCACCCGAGACAAGCCACAGAAGCAGGAGCTGTAGCGGCGGCAGGAAAAGCGGAAAGGAAGAGAAAGAGTAACAGAAGGAGGAACAGGGGGGATGCCATGGATGAAGGGGCCCTGGGACACAAATAAATACACACACATAAAAAGATCCCCCATTGTTTCCCATATTCCCTGGGTTTTTGTCTTCCCCCCCACCTCCCATATCTTCCCACATTTTCCCGGTGATCGACGATGAACTGTGTCTGTGGTTTTTCCCTCCTGAGAACAGGGGGGATGCCATTGAGGAAGAGGAGGTTAAAATCGGGCAGAGAGCAAAAATCTGAGAGCCAGCGGATCTGGGGGATGCACCAAGGCGCCGCGGCCGTCCTCCGGTGGGCTCCAGAGAACGCTCCGAGAGCGCTGCGCGGCGCACTGAAGCGATGTGCTCCCCGAGCTGTGCCTGTACCAAGTGGCTCTGATTCGTCTTTCTATGTGCCCATCGGTCGGAAGAAGCAGGTAGAAGCATGAAGTAGGAAGTCGTTGGAAATGGATTGGGTCTCCACCCGCCTCCTGACGAGGAGGGAAGAGGTAAAACCACTCGACTCTTGAAGTAGGAAGGCGCTGAAAGTGGATTGGAATCTGGGAATCCAAAAGTACTTACTTTCGACGACCGATGGGTACTTGGCTGGCGCTTCCGGGCTTTCTCGCTGTGGGGCACCCGTCGGGGCGTGGTGCGCTGGTGGCTGGCACTTCTGGGCCCCTGGGCTGTCGCAGGGTGGGCGCCCGTCGCGGACTCGTCGCCGCCTCACGCGCTGGCTCCATGTCTGGGCTGCCGCACAGTGGGCGCACGTCGCCGCCTCATCGCCGCTTCGTGCGCTGGCTGACGTTGCACATAACAAATTACATCGAACAGACTGCGACACACAGATCGCAGCAAGAACGTGGCACTCACCATGATGCATTACATCGAGCGCACTACACAGAAAGCAACTCATAGATCACCTCTTCCGAAGGGTCAGTCACCGTGCCCTGAGGCACGAGTTGGAGTGTCCTGAGGCCCCTTCGAGCGCTCTGCAGGAAGTACTGCTAATAGGTTCTTCAAGGGGACCACGGCCCAGAGTTCCAGGCGCCCTTGGCGCTCCAGGACGCTCCGGGGGGTCCCCGCGCATCATTTCCAGAACTCAAGAGCGCGATATTTCGGGACATGCGTGTCCCAATATATATATAATATATATATATATATATATATATATATATATATATATATATATATATATGTATATATCATATACATATATGTATATGATATACATATACATATATATGTCTAAGATGGTCTAAGATGGTCTAAGATGGCCCCGAGGACCGTCCCGAAACCCCCTTGGGCGCCTCCCGAGCAGGTCTTTGGGGCCCTGGAGGGCGGCCGATCCATTGGTATTTCTGCCTGGTTTTAGCATCACCACGATTGCTCAGGGCGTCAAAGACAGACCAAGAGGCACTCTCTGCCTGGTTTTAGCATTACCACTTCTGCTCAGGGCGTCAAAGACAGCCCACGAGGCACCCAAGATCGCCCCAAAACAGCCCAGGAGCCCCCGAGAGGGACCCACGAGACAGCCCCAAGAGGGGCTCAAGAGAGGGAGCACGGACTCACATTTTGAGCCCTCCGGCCCAAGATGGCCCCAAGATTCCCCCAGAGTCTGCCCGAATTGTCCCCCAAAGGCCCCGAGAGGCCCCGAGAGGCCCAAATCGGGCCCCGAAACGCCCCAAAACATCCCCAAAAGCAGCAGTCAAGAAGCTTCGGAGGTCTCCCAATAGATCGTCACAAGCATCCAAAGAGTCTCTGACCAACAATCCAAGCACGGTGGAAGGATGGGCCGAAAGCCGCTAGACATGCTTGGCACGGGGACGGAAAAAACATCTTACTTTGTGATGGCGCGAGGTCGCTGGTTTGTCCGGTCTTCCTCCTTGTACGCCTTCTCTGTTTCTCGCCCGTGTCGCATCCTTGGGGAATATTGGGGCCCTCTGGGGCGATCTTGGAAGACTGTCAGTCGTCTTCGGGCCCTCTTGAGCCGTCTTGGAGCCCGTTTAAGAAATTCGTGACCCGTTTGGACCGACACCAAGAAGACGTCGACAACATCTCATGTGTTGTGACGATGCCCCCAAGGCGAGACCACGACGATGTCAACAGCGTATCGTGTGTGCGAGGATGTACCTAGCGAAATCGCCAATGTTGGAGCAAGAGCGATGTCGACAACATGTCATCGGTTGAAGATGCCCAAAGCGAAATCGCCACATCGGGCAAGAGCGATGTCGACGATGACTCATTGTTGTGAGGATGTCCCTGGCGAGATTGCAAGTTTGTTGGCGGAAGTAGGGCGTGGTAGAGTCATCTTGTTAGGCGACGTTGGGCCATCTTGAAGCCTTCCGAGAGCGATCCCAAGACATCTCAGTGCTTGGAGGACGTCCTCAACGAAATCGCAATGTTGGGTACTAGACCTGCTGGCACGGGGACGGAAAGCGCAACTTACGTTGTGGTGGCGCGAGATCGCTGGCTTGTCTGTTTTTCCTACTCTTACGTCCTCTCTTCCCCTCGCTCTTGTCGCATCCTTGGGGAGTCGTTGGGCCCTCTTGGGCAGTCTTGGGAAACTCTCGGACCGCCTTCTGTCAAGATGTAAGGCCTCGGCAGTGTTACAGTACAGCTCAGAGTGCATAGCATGACGTGTGCGAGTGCAGAGCTAATTCAGAGGAGTTCTTTCAGGGAGATTATGAATTGACTTCGTTATGCAATCATCCTGGCTCAAAAAAGACATGGATCTGACACCCAAATCTGAGTAGGGGCATGAGCGAAAGCGGGCTGACTCTCGCAACAGTGCACCAGATTTGTTTTTTGTTAGGCAGGTCCGACGATGGAGTTGGAGATCACGGACGCGGAGTGCGTCAAACTTTGGACGGTAGGGCTCGGCACCGAGAAAATCCTCGTCACGCCTCGACACTTTGACGGTCAACACGAGAAGGTCGACGAATTTCAACATACGTTCGCGAAGTACCTCTCGAGCACCCCAAAAAATACGCGGATACCACTGGAGTGAGCGAGCGCGCCCGAAACATGTCTCCTTTTGAGCGTAAGCGTTGTGCTGCCATGTCTTGGAAAGGCCATGAGTCTTTCCTGAATACTCTTGCCGTTGGAAGTCTAGGTTTAGGCTGCGAATCGTGTTGACAAGTCTCTGGGACTGTTCGTATAAAGCCTATGCCATACTCATGCTTACAGGATCTAGATTCTAGATGACAATGCTAGATGTCACATTAGGTCTCAAAGCCGTGTTGAGTTCCTTGCCGTCCATCATGTGTGAATCTTTTTGCAGCCCACCAGGCTCGAGCAAGCCAGATCGTCCGCAGCAACCATGGTGCACTTCAAGGTGGAACGAGGTGCCGGCAGCTGCCCGGACCGTGACGCTCACTGTCTGGCGTGTGCAGGTGAACGGACCAGCAGCCCAAATCGACGAGGCAAACCTCATCATGAATGAGCTCGAGCACATGTTCGGTGACTACGTGGAGTTGAAGGATACTGCGGTGTTCGGAGGTGTGCCCAAGACGGCTAAGAAAACAATCAACGCCCTAATCGAGCCGGTCGAGTACAGCCCCGTGAAGCCAGAGACCGCGAATGAGGCTGTCGACAAGCTGGCCAATGAGGAGCCCAGCTACTGGCACGCTACCATGATGCCAGGCAAGGCCCCAAACAGTGGCATTGCACTCTCGTCCGAGCAGGTTATCGTGGGAAAGATCCTCAGGTCCGCCAAGGACCGCCGCCTTCAGGAGCACCAGGACGTGTACAACGAGTTGTGCCACTGCATTGTCCAGCGCTTCGGAGAGACAATCAAGGACGGCTTGTCATTCATGACGAAAGCAACGAAAAACAAGGCAGTCATAAAAGATCCGCTTCTGTCCATCCGACGAAGAGATGAAAATGAGCCTTTCGTGAATCGACGAACCTGATGAAGAAACAAGTGAGGCCCGAGGCAGAATGTAAGGTGTGAAGATTTAGTCTCGTTGCGACGTCTCTCGCTGCTGCCTGTCTTCCGAAGCCAGCCTGGCTCCAGAATGTGTGAGCGATGCATAGTGTTGCACTGCAAATACAGAGCACGCCTCTGCAGGAGGGGAGGGCAAGGAGAAAGACAGGAGGAGCAGGAGAATGAGGCTGAGGAGGCGGAGAAAAGAGGTACAGATCATGCTATGCGCGTTTGCGCCTATCCCTCACTCCTATCCCTTCCAATTGCGCTGAGTATTTCTCGATCCGCGGACGCGTGCCATAGCCGACCTGAAACTCCACAAAAGACTCCATCGTCTTATGCGCAGTGGGAAAATCTGTGGCCTGTGGGACCTGCGGGACCTGTGGACAGGTGGGAAGTGGGGACCTGTGGGACCTGCGGGACCTGTGGGATCTGTGGGACATGTGGGACCTCTTTGGTCTGTGGGGCCTGTGAGACCTGCGAGACCTGTGGGACCTGTGGGGAAGTGTAAAACCTGTGAGACCTGTGGGACGTGTGGGACCTGCCGGATCTGTCGGACCTGCGGGAACCGTGCGACCTGCGAGACCCGCGACACGTGGGACCTGTGGGACTTGGGACCTGCGACGGCCTCTGGGACCTGCGAGGCCTGTGGGATCCAGGTCCCACAGGCCTGTGGGACCTGTGAGGCCTTCGCGACCTGAGAGACCTGTGGGACCTGCGAGGCATGTGGGATCCAGGAAAGTGGGCTCCACTGCGGCGAGAGCGCCATTTTGAACGACGGGAGCACAGCGCCGATCCGAAAGTGAGGCCCACGCTACAGCGAGAACACCGAGCTAGAGATGGAGGGAGGCACGGGAAAATGAGGTGGAGTGATCGATGGAGGTGCGGGAGGAAGGGAGTGGAGGCATGGAGGCTGCGGCAATGGGGGGGGAAATGGAGGATGCGGGAGAACAAATGGAGGGAGGCATGCAGCGTCGGCTCAGAAACCATCGTGTCCCTATTTGGAAGAGCATGGCATGAAAGGATAGGCGCTGTGAGCCAGCTTGCTTGCACTTGGGCAAGAATGGAAGAGGGGTCGCATACATCGGATAGAAAGGAGCGGGTTGTGAAGACAAGTCTCAAAACATTACGCTACAGCTTGCGCTTCAGTCTCTACCTTCAGCAGGCGCGAAAGCGCCAGCAGCCCCACTACACTAGCCCAGAGCGAGGGCATTAACGAATTCAAAGCTCTGCTCAACGCCGGTGCTTTCCCCTCCCTACTGCCCCTGCCATCGGGACAGGCCAGAGACACAACGGATACTGCGCGTTAACGGTCATCCTTCAATGGTACTGATTCGCCTGTATTGGCTGTGTCACCTGAACCCGTCTCGGTATCGTCCGTGACCTCTTCCTTCTCGGCAGCCTGAACTGCATCTCGCGCCTTCCCATACGCGATGCCCGCCAGTATTGAAATGGTGGCTCCAATTATCTGCATGGTGGAGAGCTCTTTTGACTTCATGACAAACACCTCCAGGAAAATGATGAAGAATTTGTTGGCATTAATAAGCACGAGGAAACTCGTGGCACTGATGAGCGAGGCTACCCATACGCCAGTGTAGCTTATACCAGCTCCGACAAAGCAACTGCTGATCACCCAGAAGAGCTTGACTGAATCCAGGTTTCCAACAGCCTCTTACGTAGTTCCAAGATATGGGTTAACACACCATGCGGCAAGTGTTTACTATAGACACTGCCCTCTAGCTAACACCTGCTCGCCTTCGGTGATTTCCTCCGTCGGGCCAAGCGGTCCCGAACAAAGGTTGGCACCACAAGGGGCGCCCGTGGAAAGCACTCAGTGAATGCGAGCAGGTAGAATAGCTCCAAGACTTTACCCCATCCACTCCTCCTCTTCCTCCTCCTCCTCCTCCTCCTCCTCCTCCTCCTCGTCCTCCTCCTCCTCCTCCTCCTCCCTCCTCCTCCACTTCCTGCACCTCCTCTTCCTCCTCCTCTCCCAGGTTGGTCCTGCAGCAATCTCCCCTCCACACTTCAAACAAGACAAACTCACGGGATCCAACAGACTATCGACGACGGGGGAAGCTACTCAGCAAAAGTGAGGGGTTGGCAGAATCACCGAATCGCTTGCAGACTGACATGAACCCATATTCCAAGAACATCGCGCCTCCGGCACTGCAGAGAACTCGCCCGCGAACAGACCAGCGAGCACTAGCGGTATGACTCCCAAAATATTGTTCAAGAGCGTGACCCCTGTCTTTGACATATCAACTGGGTCTTGGTCATTTGCTAACATTAGCCGTTGCAAAAGCCGGTCAACGACAGCGAATAAGTTATTCGCCAATGTCCATCCAATGCCTCCCAGGTTTCCCGCATTAAAATCCATTGTGGAGATGTAGATGCCCATCCCGACTAGGCTAGCCACCAAGGAAAGTATCATTGGACCAGACAGTTTAATGGGATTTGGAAAGCACATCTCTATAGGAAGGGACGTTATCGGAGATAGCGCCCGCATAGTGATAACAAGCGTCATTGGCGCATCCTTCAAGGCCAGAATCGAGCTCAGAATCATACCAGAGAAGAAGGGAATTACACGGCACCAACGGAGCACATCTTTCCTGGATCCCACGTGGATGGATTTCCCAGCAACCACGACCATTACGAGTGCGGTGAATAGAAATTGAATGCCAACAAGGGTGCACGGCACGGGGAAGGCATGAATCGCGTTCTTGTTGCACAGCAGCATGCCAATTGAGCATGCCATCCAAGAGAGAATCCCGATCGAAGTCTCCGCACTGTCAACCACTGTGACAGGCTTCTCGGCATCTTCCGACACTGCGTTCGCCATGCATGAAAAGCGAAGAACTCCCTTGCACAAGCTTTGAGCCCTCCTGCCTCGACCCTGTGTACCATGATGAGACTAAACATGACGACGGCAATGAAGGTGACAACGACTGTGGCGAGTTCGACGACAAAGCGATCATATCCCGAGCTGATGCATAACTGAAGTGTTCAGTTGCTTCATAGCCTGTTTGCAGCTCACCTTCAGGTGCCCTTCCGCGCTTATTCGGTCAAACCCTCCTCGGTTAGCCAAACACGTTGCTTGGTGGTGTTGCCATCATTATCTGTATCCGCCACCGTCTCGTAGTCACTGAATGAAGAGACACCGAGCAAAACTTCCAAAGGTGTGGCTCAGACCCCCAAGAGGCCTCCAGAGGCCCCCGAGGAGTGCTCAAGAGGTCTCCAGTTTGTTTCTACGAAGAACGCCAAACAGTGCCAGTGATGAGCCATTCGCAGATCAAGCCAGCCCTGAGCCTTCTGGAGCTATGACCCTCCAGTCGCCGTAAAGGCCCGTCCTGTCAAGATGCGACTGAACTGTGAAATTGCCCGCCTGTCGAGTACCTCCGAAAACAAATACGTAGCACCCCGCAATTGCGGATAAGAGTGAGGGGGCGGGCGCGGGCGACGCGGGCGTCGTCGAGCCGGCGGACCTCGTGGCCCCCACCTTCCTTGTCGATGGCGCTCCCCTCCACCTCCTCCTCCTCCTCCTCCTTCTCCTCCTCTTCCTCCTCCTTCTCCTCCTCCTCTTCCTCGTCCTCATCGTCATCGTCATCCTCCTCCTCCACCTCGTCCTCCTCCTCCTCCTCTTCTTCCTCGTCCTCCCTCTCCCCCCCTCGTCTTTTCATCATGGTCCTCCCATTGTCGTCCTCCCCCTCATCGGCCTCCATCATCGTCCTCCCATTGTCGTCCATCATCATCATCCTCCCCATCCTCCCCCTCCTCGTCCTCCTCCTCCCCCTCCTCCCCCTCCTCCCCCTCGTCCTCCTGCTCCTCCTCCTTTTCTTTCTCCACGTTCTCCTTACATCCTCTCTTCTTCCACGTTCTCCTCGTCCCCTGTTTACTCATCCTGCCTCCCCCTCCTTTCCCAAGATAACTGCAACGCAATCCTTTTTTCCACTTTATGCTCCCCGCCTTCTCTGATCAAGGCAACTCGCCAGGGCAAAGTTGCTGGACGGGCTGGCGTGGATGCGCGGGGCGTGAAGAGGTCCTTGCGGGCTCAGACGGCATGCAAGAATCCGCCGCCGCGCTTGTGCGGCATTGGTTCGTTCAGTGAACGTGGTTTAGGTCGCGGGTGGGTCGCGGGCTCTCCACCTCCACCTGGAAGGAATGCAAAGCAGCCCGCCGCAAGCGCCAAAAAAAATGGTTTGTACACGGAACGAGGTTTGGATCGCGGGTGGGCCGCGGGTTCGCCACAGTGAACGAATGCAAAAGATGCCCGCCGCAGGCACCGAAAATGTGGTTTGTACCCTGAACGTGGTCGCGGGTGGGCCGCGGGCTCTCCACCTGAAACGAATGCAAAATATGCCCGCCGCAGGCGCCGAAAAATGTGGTTTGTACCCTGAACGTGGTTTGGGTCGCGGGTTGGTCGCGAGTTGGTCACGGGATGTGTCGCGGGCTCTCCACTTGGAAGGAATGCAAAAAAGCCCGCCGCAGGCGCCGAAAATTGTGGTTTGTACCTTGAACGTGGTTTGGGTCGAAGGTGGGTCGCGGGGTAGGTCGCGGGTGGGTCGCGGGTGGGTCGCGGGTGGGTCGCGGGTGGGTCGCGGGTCGCGGGGTGGGCCGCGGGGTGGGTCGCGGGGTGGGTCGCGGGGTGGGGTGGGTCGCGGGGTGGGTCGCGGGTTGGGTCGCGGGGTGGGTCGCGGGGTGGGTCGCGGGGTGGGTCGCGGGTGGGTCGCGGGTGGGTCGCGGGTGGGTCGCGGGGGTCGCGGGTGGGTCGCGGGGTGGGTCGCGGGGTGGGTCGCGGGTGGGTCGCGGGGCGGGTTGCGGGTGGGACGACGACAACAAACAACAACAAACAACAACAACAACAACAACAACAACAACAACAACAACAACAACAACAACAACAACAACAACACAACAACAACAACAACAACAACAACAACAACAACAACAACAACAACAACAACAACAACAACAACAACAACAACAACAACAATAACGACAACAACAACAACAACAACAACCAACAACAATAACAACAACAACAACAACAACAACAACAACAACAACAACAACAACAACAACAACAACAACAACAACAACGAGAATCCGCACCGCGGAATTCCACATCAGCTTCGCACCCAGGGACAGTGAATGACCGTTCGGCCCCCTCACTCTGATGGTCCATGACATCACGGATCCCGTAAAAAACTAGGCCCCAAGAGGCCGCCAAGAGGCCTCGCCGCGCCTGGAAAAGGCACCCGAGAGACCCTCCCAAGAGACCCCAAGAGGCTTCTGAGACGCCATGTGTCCACGACCCAGGTACGGTGGCAGGATGGGCCGAAGGTCACTAAGTGATATTTTTGGTCACTCGTCAATGGCATCACACCGCTTTTCGGTCCAAGTCTCTGGGATCCGACTGTGCAGAATCGTGTCCCCTCCTCCGTCCAGGCCATAGTTGGGGAAACTGGGCATGCCGAATCGCGCCTTCGAACTGCTCTCGCCTCACCCGTCTGCTTTGGATGACGATCCACAACCACATCTAAAAGGGGGGGGGCCCGCCCACACGGCTGTCTCAGGGCCGGCCCACCCACCACCCACCTGCACGCCCCACTGAGGGTCCACTTCCACGATCGCCCACCTGAACTACAGAAGCTTGGAGAAAGAACATGGTAGGACCAACATCTGGGCAGAATGAAAAACCAGGAGGAAACAAAAAACTATACAGGTACAGTGATCATTGAAAAGACAATGAACGACAGCCTCAGAAGGCCCTGTGGGCAACCGGCAGCCCCGGCAGCCAGGTGCAACGAGAACCAAGACCCCACGAGCAAGACACCATGGGAAACAGGCAACCCTGGTAGCCAAAGTCACACAAAGCCAGGACCGAATTGACGGGACACAAGTCTGGCCACCAGCGACATCGAAGAACCCAAGGACCCTACAGGCCGGACGCTATCCGCTATGAGACACCAGCACTCAAGCAGCTAGGACACAACGGGAAGGGCGCTACACGCCACCAGCAGCCCGGGCACCCCGGCCAGCCTTAGTCGACTCTGGCCGGCTCCCACCCTGTGAAAACATCTGACGTCTCAAAATGTGTGAAAGGTCATCCAAAAAGTCCTTGTGTGAGACCCGAAAACCCAACAACCCAACTAACTGGAGAGATTCCTCGGCCGGACGCTTAGTGGCGCAACGCTTCCAGCAATCAGACAAACGGGCAGCCGGGGCCGAGGGGAATGAGGGGTGACTGTCCAGGCCTGGGAAGTCATGATTAAGGCGGAATAGCCGCATCTACGTGCGCATTAACACATCGACCTATGGTATGCGTAATTCGCTCTGCATGCTGTAGTCGTCATCTCCGTCGCTGTTGCTGTTGTTGCCACGTGTATTTTCGCGTTTCCAATCAATCCACGCGTGTGTAGCCAGCCTTGAGGACCAAGAATCAAGGCGCAGTTGGCGTAGAGAAGTATTCCGCTTCTTGGGGGCCTGCGAAGGCATCTGAGGCCGTCCCAAAATGACCCCCCAACATCTTTCTTGGACAACTTGAGACCACCGAAGACGGGCTGAAGGCCCCCGCGAGACGTTTCTTTCGGCTCTGGGAGCTGCCCCACCCCCTGAAGACTAGCCGCTGACAGGCCAAGTTGGGCCCAAGCAAGAGTCCGAAGAACCTCGGAGATGCGCGTCCATGCGGCCTCTGACAGACCAATGGCACATGATGATTATCTTTCAGAGAAATCGAACTTACACCAATTGCTGCGCTACCGTCTTCGTACTGGGCGTGTCAATGGAAATAGCAGCAGAAGTATTGACCCCAATCAAAATAGCAGCCCGTTGCCATCCACACTACATATTTGCTACGTGTCCAAGCGCATGAGGGGGCCAGTGGGCACTCGATCGAAGATTCCGAACCCTGCAGGACAAGAATGCTACTTGATTAGAGGGTTTCACAAATGAGCCCAGGACTATTCACCATTGAATCGGTAAATCGGACCGAATTGACATGTGCATCGGATCGGGCCGCATCGGCACGGAGTCGAAATCGAATCGGATCGGCCCCGCCCAGATGCACAGCAACGCCATGCAGGCATCGGGCCGCATCGGATCGAAGGAGAATCAACATCGAATCGGGCCGGGTTGGCCAAAGACGATGTCGAATCGAATCGATCGGATCGAAATGGGCCTTGCGAATCTGTAGCCAACACGATGACACGTGTCTGCCGTGAAGGTGGCACCTTGGTGGTCACAAAAACATGCACTATGAGAGTCGGATAAGCGATACGTCAAAGTAACGATAAGAATGGTACACAGCAGTGATACTGCTGACAACATTGACGGAACAGATGAACCAAAATCTGTGTATATATATGGATGTACAGATATTCGTAAAGATGCATCAGTAGCTGTACACACATATTGATATGTATCACACATGCGTAAACAAGTGTCTCAATGTATGGGTATGCAGACTTCTCCGAGAAGATAAAGCTCATCAATGAGATGCACAGTAACGAATCACCATCTCGAGCGGCCGACTGTTTTTCAAGAACCTGCAACAGAAGGAGCGGCGGAAATGGGGGCGACATCGGCCCGCTCGACAGTTTTAACAGGGCTGGGAAGCCCAACCATGTGCTTCGCCTAAGGCGAAGCCCATATCCAACTCTGTCGTACCGTAGTCACGACAGTCCCAGGAGGAGGAGAGCGTCGCGGGAGCGACCAGTCATGTCAAGCGAACATGTTTTCGGTCTCAATGGCAAGCAGTGCGCCTCGCGATTTAGCACAGTCATATCTTGGCGGCCGGTCGCTTGAGCACAGACGGCCGCGGGCAAACGCTCGCTATGTTTCGCCTTTGTCCCAGCCTCCCTTAGAGTCGGGGCGGGAGGAGACGAAGCGT